GTAAATAAATCTTAACCAATGATTCCTAATTGCATCTACTTCCGGAAGGCCAAATAAAGTGCTTTTGCTTTTGCAATGAAATACACAGCGTCTCCCTGACATGACTGCATCAACACTGCTGTTCCTGAAACCACACCTTCTTTCTTTGCGTGCACATTTGCCTTGATTTTGTCCATAGTAACGCTGACTGGCACTCCCCAGATGACTCCTTTACACCATTTAGTTCCTTTTTCAATATAATTTACACTCACCACTTTATTCCTCCCTATTTCTTTCATTCTACCAGCCCGCTTTCTCTGTTCCTCGCTTCTACAAACAATCAACAAATTGCCATCTCTCAACACCTTTGCCATATTAATATCACCGACCTGATTTTTTAAAACGGTTGTTAACTTTACCGGACTCATTGACAAAATTCCCTTCTCCTCCGCAAATCTCAATATAATTTTGAAGTCGCCATCTGCCTTCTCTCTTTCCTCGTTTCCTTCTCCAACACCTCCACTGCCTCTTATTTTCTTCGACCTGACTCCTGCTAAATCATCTCCTCTCTTTTCCTTCATTGACTCCTGCTCTCCTCTCTTTTCCTTTCTCACACTTCCTTGGCTTATATCCATACTATCGTCACTATCTCCTATTTCAGAATCTCCCCACTCTGGTCCATTCACAGCATAGTTGTGCAATCGTGTCTTTTTCTCAGGATCATCTGACAGATCACATTTCTTGGTTTGATGTCCCGATAAAGTTTTCACCATATAAGAAAACACTGCTGGTTTAACCGAGCTGCAGTGTCACCACACGCTGCCGCCAAACGGAAGCGTCTTCTCCGGTAACTCGCCACGACGGCTCATTATAGACGCTTATTCTTGTCATACACAATGGAAGGAAAAAAATTCTGGCTTCTTCAACATTAACGAATTTGAATTTCATTAATAAATTTAATGAAAATTTCACCCATTTTGTCATCACTCTGAAGAAACAGAAGTTCAAAGTGTTTCAAAGTGTTCAGTTGACTTTACTTATTTTGTTAAAATGAATGTATCTTATGTATTAGCCAATTTTGGTAAATCTTTAAAAAGATAATTTTTCATATTAAGTTTATAATGATTTTATTACTATTCCTTCTGCTGAGCGAATCATTGGTAACCCTCCCTTCTCTCCAAGAACTCTACTCATCCAGAGTGAGCAAAAGGGCTGACAAAATCACTCTGGACCCCTCACATCCAGCACACTCCCTCTTTGAACTGTTGCCATCTGGTCGACGCTACAGAGCTCTGAGCACCAGAACGGCCAGACACAGGAACAGTTTCTTTCCTCAGGCAATCCATCTCATGAACACTTGACAATAACTGTGGAACACACACTATTTATTCACTCATACACTTATTTATCTAACACACATACTCAGTCTACATTTCAATTTGCACATAATATACCTGTACATACAACTGTCTATTGTTATATACCTGTACATACAAGTGTCGATTTGTATATTTTTATTCCTTATTTACTTGTTCTATTTTTATTTTTTATTTATTTTTATTTTTTATTATCTGTGTTTTTTGTTCTGTCACTGTCATTCTGTTACACTGTGGAAGCTTCTGTCACGAAAACAAATTCCTCGTATGTGTAAACATACCTGGCAATAAAGCTCATTCTGATTCTGATAGCTCATTCTGAGTGGTGTTCTTCTCGCCGAGA